GATGAGTTGGAACCAAACTTGATATGAATCATCTGAATTTTCATGAAATGATAATGATGACCAATCAACATGGTCATTGTTACAATAAGTTGGATGGAAGATGACTATAATAGTTTTCAAATTTACATTTAAACTTAATAATTTCAACTTACATCCAAAATAGCCACAGACCTTATTTTAGTTAGGACACATTGGAAAATACATTCTTTTGAAATCACTGAGATAACAGTAATTTAAAATGAATTTTATGGATGTTAGGCAACCAACAATCTATCAATCAATAAAACAAACGTTACAGATAATAAGCTGCCTGTTTTATCCCCATGTGGAAATTTTTTTTTATGGCTAGACCTTAACATTAGAATTTTAAAATGCTCCCCTTTCTTCTTATTTCACCCATTTTACAGTTTTAATACATAATATAAATACAATGATCATGATCAATATATTACAACAAAATATGTTTTTTTGGAAGTCTGAAAAATACAAATGAATCTTTGAAGAACTTATGGGAAATGAAATGAATTCTTTTTTTGAAGACAGCTATCTTGCATATTACTGTTATAATATGAGAATAAAAGGAGATGGCATGTAAGTATTTATGAAACAACAACCCAACAATGTAAGTGCACTATAAATAAAAAGGCATGGAGGTGACGTCCCTACACTGTTAACAATCAAAAGTATTTAAGAGCTTGACATATGTTATAGACATTTATCTGTTGTTGAAGATGTTGACATCAAGATGTCTCTTGGTTTCTTGTGTCTTTGGGTTACTGTCTCATTGGTGTATATCCCACTTTTTCTATAGTAAATTTAGATGACACCATAAATCCTTTTTTGTGTTACCAGTGATGAAAGTTGTTTGAGGCCATATTTATGTTTTACTCTTCTTACATGTTTATAAACATATCTCTTGTTCCAAGTCTCAATGAATTAATGAAAATTGTTATACACTTTTTTTTTAGGTTGTAAGATGTTCTTCTTTCTTTGCAGGAATCAATGAAAATGATGGGATTGAGTAACTGGTTACACTGGATGGCCTGGTTTATCAAGTATACAGTATTCCTTTTTATCACAGTCCTCATCATGACCATTTTATTAGCTGTAAAGACGGATAAAGGAGCAGTTATTAATAAATCAAATCCAGTTATTATTTTTATCTTTTTGATGCTATATGCAATCTCAACAATATCTTTCTGTTGTACTGTCAGTGTGTTTTTCTCAAAAGGTAAGTATAGAAAGTAAAAGCCTGTTTACTAGTGTTTGTCAGTGGTTGCCAACATGTTGTTTTTTGTGTTTAACTTGAGTCAAGCTGTTAGTTTTTTCTTTTGAATTGTTTTACTTTTTGCTGGACCTTTCATATATAGCTTACGTATAGTATAGGCAGAGGAGGTACAACATTTTGCAAACTGCATGTTAATCAAATACTCAAATTATTGACTAATACAGCTAAAATACACAAACAATTGTTTTTGTGCCTTGGGTTAACGTATTTGCTCCGGGAATTGACACATATATTTAATATTTGATTTGAAAATAGTACTGTAAACAGCTGCAGTTTTATTTTCACTATTTTTGCAGTAAGAATTAATATTTCAAGGAAAATTGGATGCATTTGATGAAAACATACATGAATCGATACCACTAGGATTTGTAGATGACCAATTTATAACATCGGTTTAACAGTTAACAAATCTATACCGCAAATCATCACTTTATTTCTATATGAAAGGCATTGTAAGAAATCATAACTTTATTTCTATATGAAAGGCAATGTAAGAAATCATAACTTTATTTCTAAATGAAAGGCAATGTAAGAAATCATAACTTTATTTCTATATGAGAGGCAATGTAAGAAATCAAAATTTTAACTCATTATAGTCTTATTGCAAATCACTTAAAACTCTTACTAAATTCTTCCATAGATGGAAACGTAAATACAATCCTGGTAAACTTATCGATACTTTAATAAAATTGAGAATGGAAGTGGGGAATGTGTCAAAGAAACAACAACCCGACCAAAGAGCAGAAAACAGACCAAGTAAATTTATTCTTAATGGGTTACCGATTCAACACTGTAATTAGATCTTTGAATATTGTTTTTATTGGTATAAATATTGATTTTGTTATCAATGAATTAAAACCAAACTAATATTATTGTTATATATACATATGCACATTCATGGTTCTACAGTCTGTCGAGACCTGTCTTTTTGGTATTGCACAATGTCGTGTTTTTCTCTTGACTGTTAATGACGTCTTTACAATAAATCTATTGGTTGTTGGATATGAACTGAATGATGTATTAGTCTTAGATACATTATTATGCCCCCGCCGTAGGGGAGGTGGGATTTAGTTTTACCCTTGTCCATACGTCCCGACTCTAACTTTTAGTTTGCCTCAACCAAATGTTATGAAACTTATACACAATGCTTATTACCACAAAACACAGATCAAATTTGAATTTGGGTGGCATCATTTTTACCTTTCTAGAGTTATGCCCCTTTACAAATGGAAAAATTGCTGAATTTTTAGTTTCCGTTCTCTAACTTCAGTTTACCTCAACCTAATATTATGAAACTTATACACAATGCTTATTACCACAAAACTCAGATCAAAACCGAATTTGGGTAGCATAATTTTTACTGTTCTTGAGTTATGTCCCTTTATAACATTAGATGCAAGGGGGGCCATCATCTAGTAATGTGTCGGATGGACACATTCCCCATTAATTTTTTTATTAGTTGTTATTGGCTTCAAACTATCTGTCAGTAACTGCCAGTACTCTCAGATCTGTACTTATTGTCTTTTTTGTTGTTGGGATGTATAAATATCTTGCCACGTCCAGCCAGTGTTTTTGTTATTTGTTTTTCTGCTTTGTATCGATCTAATGAGTTAAGACCTTTTCAACTGATTTTTATAGTTTGTTCATATGTTGTACTGTTACACCACTGTCCCAGGTTAGGGGGAGGGTTGGGCGCTTGCAAACATGTTTAACCCCACCACATTCTAGATGTGTCTGTCCCTAGTAAGGAGCCTGTAAATCAGTGGTTGTTGTTTGTTACTGTATAGCATATTTGTTTTTTCATTCATTGTTTTGAACATAAATCAGGCCGTTAGTTTTCTCGTTTGAATTTTGAATTTTGTTTTACATTTGTCATTTCTAGGTCTTTTATAGTGACTCTGTGGTATGGGTTTTGCTCATTGTTGAAAGCAGTGCAGTGACCAATAGTTGTTAACTTCTATGTCATTTGGACTCTGATGGATAGTTGTCTCAATGGCAATCATACTTCATCATCTTTTTTTTATATTGTTGCAGTTAGGTAAATGACACCTGTCAATCAGTTTTAAAATGATTGCCACATTGTATCTGCTTTGCTTAGCAGTAATCCTGTCAGCATATAATTCTCTCTCAATCGATGCTTTACTTTTGCGCAAGTAGCATTTCATTTGCAGCAAAAAGTCTTTCATTTGTGCCACAAACCATATTTTATTTGCTCCAAAATACTACATTTCATTTGCGGCAATAATACAGGTAAATAGTATAAATAAAAGATCTGCATTGTAACGAGACCTTTTAGATATTACCACAATAGTATTTTCTCCTATTTGTCTCAGAATGAATTATGTCCATTTTATCACCTCGAACATGTGAACATTATACAATTTTATACCTTTAAGTCACTCTCAGTTTTATATGAGAAATGAGTATGAATTCACTAACTAACCAGGGAGGATACTCTACAACATTTCTTATACAGGTACAACTTATATTAAAACACTTATGTTATATTTTACCTGTAAATTACCTCAATAGCAGTATTTATTCTTGGCACAAATGAAATACAACCCTAAGGCATAAATGAAATACAGCATATTACAAAAATTGGCACAAATGCAATGCACTCCTCTTAATACTTTCATTCTTCTCTGTTTATTGTGTAAATGTTTTTAAAAGCAAATATTACTAATAATTTTAAATATACATTCACATTCATGAAAAGTTCACAATCATAACTATCTTTTTTAATGATAAATTCTACCATTTTAAAAGATAGTTATGATTGTGGTTTTTTTATGCTTGGAACCTTTGAGTATTGTTTCCTTAATTTAATATATAAATTTTAAAACTTGTGATAGATTCATACATGTATATACGTTAATCTCACCTATTTTCTTATATACACCCAACCTGCGTTTTATTAAATTTCTCGCAATGTACAGTTTAGCACCTCTTAAAAATAATACATATTTTTTTATTTTGTGTGTCATGCATAACTTTTGTAACATAATGCACATTTTGAACTTTTAAAGATGATTACTTTAAAAAGCTACTCAAATTTTACATTATGACATTTTCATTGTAAATGGGTGCGAATATTTTATTGTTACTTTTATGTTAAACATGTGTATATACCTCATAGTCTTCAACACTATACCCTAGGCTGATGTTCCACCATTAATGGTGGAAAATACATGAAACTGAAACTATACTGAATGAAAAGTTGAACACTGATTACTTTTGGTCAGCAACTCAAAGGATTTCTGATTGAATTTATCACCTGATTTACAATTCATATTTTCTAATTTTCAAATCATATATGAAAAATCTAATTGAACACCTGGATATCGCGAATTTAAAACAGTAGGAGTTTAGGTTGTGTTGGTAATTGCAAAAAAAAACGGCGCAAAAATTTCCCTATTTACAGTAGTTTTTTAGCAAGATTGAGACTTGAAAAGACCTTTTATATTTTTTAGAATGTATTCACAGTATAAACGTATTTACACTTTTGGTATTTAGCTATATTTTGCCTCCGAATGACCTTAGATCTACTCTGAATCACCTTTTGACGTCAGGCAACAATCACTTTTTAATTGTGACGTCAAATGTTTTGAATTATGATGTCAAAGTTTACAGGAACCTGTGTGATTTTACGTAATGGCGGACAAATTTGCATACAAGTGTAAATACGTCTATTCTTTTAATGATATCAATTTCATTTTTTTAGCTCACCTGACCTGAAAGGTCAAGTGAGCTTTTCTCATCACTTTGCGTCCGTCGTCCGTCGTCCTGCGTCCGTCGTCCGTCGTCCGTCGTCCGTCGTCCGTCGTCCGTAAACTTTTACAAAAATCTTCTCCTCTGAAACTACAGGGCCAAATTTAACCAAACTTGGCCACAATCATCATTGGGGTATCTAGTTTTAAAAATGTGTGGCGTGACCCGGTCAACCAACCAAGATGGCCGCCACGGCTAAAAATAGAACATAGGGGTAAAATGCAGTTTTTAGCTTATAACTCAAAAACCAAAGCATTAAGAGCAAATCTGACATGGGGTAAAATTGTTCATCAGGTCAAGATCTATCTGCCCTGAAATTTTCAGATGAATCGGACAACCCGTTATTGGGTTGCTGCCCCTGAATTGGTAATTTTAAGGAAATTTTGCTGTTTTTGGTTATTATCTTGAATATTATTATAGATAGAGATAAACTGTAAACAGCAATAATGTTCAGCAAAGTAAGATTTACAAATAAGTCAATATAACCGAAATGGTCAATTGACCCCTTTAGGAGTAATTGCCCTTTATAGTCAATTTTTAACCATTTTTCGTAAATCTTAGTAATCTTTTACAAAAATCTTCTCCTCTGAAACAACTGGGCCAAATTAAACCAAACTTGGCCACAATCATCATTGGGGTATCTAGTTTAAAAAATGTGTGGCGTGACCCGGCCAACCAACCAAGATGGCCGCCACAGCTAAAAATAAAACATAGGGGTAAAATGCAGTTTTTGGCTTATAACTCAAAAACCAAAGCATTTAGAGCAAATCTGACATGAAGTAAAATTGTTTATCAGGTCAAGATCTATCTGCCCTGAAATTTTCAGATGAATCGAACAACCTGTTGTTGGGTTGCTGCCCCTGAATTGGTAATTTTAAGGAAATTTTGCTGTTTTTGGTTATTATCTTGAATATTATTATAGATAGAGATAAACTGTAAACAGCAATAATGTTCAGCAAAGTAAGATTAACAAATAAGTCAACATGACTGAAATGGTCAGTTGACCCCTTTAGGAGTTATTGCCCTTTATAGGCAATTTTTAACAATTTTTCGTAAATCTTAGTAATCTTTTACAAAAATCTTCTCCTCTGAAACTCCGTGGCCAAATTAAACCAAACTTGGCCACAATCATCATTTGGTTATCTAGTTTTAAAAATGTGTGGCGTGACCTGGTCAACCAACCAAGATGGCCGCCACGGCTAAAAATAGAACATAGGGGTAAAATTCAGTTTTTGGCTTTTAACTCAAAAACCAAAGCATTTAAAGCAAATCTGACATGAAGTAAAATTGTTTATCAGGTCAAGATCTATCTGCCCTGAAATTTTCAGATGAATCGGACAACCCGTTATTGGGTTGCTGCCCCTGAATTGGTAATTTTAAGGAAATTTTGCTGTTTTTGGTTATTATCTTGAATATTATTATAGATAGAGATAAACTGTAAACAGCAATAATGTTCAGCAAAGTAAGATTTACAAATAAGTCAATATAACCGAAATGGTCAGTTGACCCCTTTAGGAGTAATTGCCCTTTATAGTCAATTTTTAACCATTTTTCGTAAATCTTAGTAATCTTTTACAAAAATCTTCTCCTCTGAAACAACTGGGCCAAATTAAACCAAACTTGGCCACAATCATCATTTGGTTATCTAGTTTTGAAAATGTGTGGCGTGACCTGGTCAACCAACCAAGATGGCCGCCACGGCTAAAAATAGAACATAGGGGTAAAATTCAGTTTTTGGCTTTTAACTCAAAAACCAAAGCATTTAAAGCAAATCTGACATGAAGTAAAATTGTTTATCAGGTCAAGATCTATCTGCCCTGAAATTTTCAGATGAATCGGACAACCCGTTGTTGGGTTGCTGCCCCTGAATTGGTAATTTTTAAGGTGATTTTGCTGTTTTTGGTTATTATCTTGAATATTATTATAGATAGAGATAAACTGTAAAAAACAATAAATGTCGGCAAAGTAAGATCTACAAATAAGTCAACATGACCGAAATTGTCAGTTGACCCCTTTAGGAGTTATTGCCCTTTATAGTCAATTTTTAACCTTTTTTTCGTAAATCTTAGTAATCTTTTACAAAAATCTTCTCCTCTGAAACTACTGGGCCAAGTTAATTATAGATAGAGATAATTGTAAGCAGGAAAAATGTTCAGTAAATTAAGATGTACAAACACATCACCATCACCAAAACACAATTTTGTCATGAATCCATCTGCGTCCTTTGTTTAATATTCACATAGACCAAGGTGAGCGACACAGGCTCTTTAGAGCCTCTAGTTTCACATGCCAACTTTTGATATATTAACAAAAATTTGTGCCTTGCATTTGTACAGCGATCACTTAAAAATTCCCACCATGATTGGGCAGATTCTTTAATGATACATATTGTTAAAAATGCAAATCTTAATTAATTTGAATGCAAAAAATTTTATGAAGGAAAATTGCTTCTGAAATTATAAGTGTGAGTTTTTATTGCGAAACCTGATACTCTTGTATTTTTGGCATTAATGAATTTCTGAACTTGTAGTATCATGGATCATTGATAATGTTCAAGTCATATGAAACTTCTTTCTAATGATTAAAGTTTAAATGTTAATGAAATTATTGAACCAATGCATGCATATACTGTGGATTCTTCTATTTTTGTTGGTACCAATTTTCGTGGATTAAGGGAGAAATGTATTTTCATGGATATTTGATTTTGGGGTTTTGCTAAAGTCTTCATACAAGCCTATAAAAATAATGTACTTTATTGAACATTTGAATTTGTAGTTCACCTTTATCCATGAAATCCACAAAAATTAGTATTCTATGAATAATAATAAATCCACAGTACATTAAACTAAGTCTTTTGTGTACGTTTAAAAAAAAAATTTATTACGAAGTCGTTATTATATAACCCACAAAAAATATTTCATTCATTGATTGAGATAGAAAATTTTGACTGCTAATTAACTTTCGGGTTTTGGGGACTAAGTTTACCTGTTGTTACCTTGATAAACAATCAACAGAGAATCATGGACCACAGGAAAATAAGTGAGAAGATAAAAAGATGTTCATTTGGTTTTTATTATATATCTTCCATGAGTTTCAATTTAATCAAACTTTGTCATAACAGTTGTTAATTAATTTGGTGTATAAAATTTTTCTTTCAGAATCAATTCACACTTTCGTTAACTTCCATGTTTGTTTACCTTTTCTTTCATTACAGTTTTTCCCTCGCACTTGCGCTAGGGGGTTGCCGAAGTTCTAAAGAGAGTCTCATTGTTCAGGTCACTACATACGGAAAAGCTGTCTGTGAATTGGAGTACAGGAAGGAAGATAAAGGATTCTCTTTTAAAAGAAAGTCGCATAATATAAACTTAAGTTACTTAAGTAAAAAAAAAATTAAAATGCTTGACACACCCCTTTCTGGAAAACCCAACAAGCTTAAGAAAGTATTTTATGAGTGGTTGGAAATTAAGATAAATTACATATTTTTTAGCTAATTCTGGAGCTGCTGCAGGAGGGATTCTCTTTTTCCTGACCTACATACCATACCTATTTCTACAACCTCGTTATGCTGATCTCTCCTTGACAACCAAACTAACTTCCAGTCTGATATCAAACGTTGCGATGTCTTATGGTGGACAGGTTATAGGAATGTTTGAAGGAACAGGTATAGATGAGTATTTTCAGTATACTTTTTCTCAACTTCCTTATTATATACAAAACTTAGATTTTTAAACAATCAGAATTTTTTAACCAATTCTCTGGTGGTCAGTTTTATTTGTTTGTTACACATAAATGTAACTTTTTATCAATGAAATGTTAAGTTTTACTGTCAAGTGAAACGAAATACTGGTACATTATTTCTTTTGGTTGAAGGAAGCCAAAAGGAAATCTATTTGTGGAAATAAGCTTGTGAGTGTGGACATTAAAACAACATACATGATTAATTCTAGGAGCTGGAGTTCAGTGGAATACTTTGACTCAAGGTGCCTCTGTGGATGACAACTTCTCCCTTGCCTATATAATGATGATGATGGTTGCTGATACTGTACTGTATGGTATTATTACATGGTACATTGAGGCAGTGTTCCCAGGAGAGTATGGTGTACCGTTATCATGGTATTTCCCTTTTACTGTAAGTTAAAAGTTTAATTTAGGATTCATATATTTACTCTTAGACACCAAGCTTCAAGCATGCTTTGCGTATCCTTACAACAAAATATAATGTACTTTGCATCTAGAAGAACATTTATATTTAGGACATTTCGGTGCATACTTGAAGTACTTTGAAGAATAGATATATGATCTCTTCAAATGAAAACAAATCATTGCTTTTATTTTATACAAATTTTTAATAATAAAAAAAACCAACAGAAGGCATCAATAATAATAAATTGTTGGATCATGCATAAAATTTACAAACAAAATAACATAAAAACTAAGAAGAAAATTAACTAAAATACTAACTAACTACTGTAGCTAACAAACAAAATAACAGAGAAAACTTTGGAACCAGGACTTCCAAAAACAATCATGTTAGCCAGCCAAAGTTGTTTCTTTCAATAGATGTCCAGATAGAATAATACTGAACTGGTTCTCCAGAATATTTCATATGTTTAGGCAATATTTTTTGCTAGACAGTTTTCCCTAACACAGGCACACTTTTCCAGTCCTAAAAGTCACAGGCACAGGACGTTTGCGTTTTTTTACCAGTAACACAAAAGGTCATGTGCGCTCCAAACACTATGCACATTTGCACTTTAAACTTTGATACACCTGGACTAAATTGACTGGACATTTGTGCTTTTTACCTATGACAGTTTACCTGTAATCTAAACAAAATTTGCTTCCGTCATGGAAAGACGTTCACATATTCTTTGAAAGTTTAACGGTACAAACGTAAAAAACAGACAAAAATTTATTTTCGGGTAAACGATACAGAAAACGAAATTTATATGAATGGAACATTTAAATTTTGCCCTAAATTCTTTAAGCAGCTTTATACAATACATGGATTTAAAAATAGAAACTATATTCTCTTGTGTCCATTCTATTGCATAGAAAGTCCCAGGATCTGTACCATCATTCTAAGGAATCTTAAGAATGTTTCAATTTGTGACGACTGAAATTTGATTATTTAAACCACCTGCTGTTCATGTTGACCTCTAAAAAGAATCTTGTTTGTTATAAGAAATTTATTTTCATTAGTCTTCTTGAAGTGTTGTCGTTTTCAGATGACACAAGAATGATGGCAAAAGATTAAGCCTTTTATTTGTATATAAATAGATGAATGAATTGTGTTTTTGATATTAAATGATTTTTTAAACTTTTAACCATGATAAAGCGCAAATTTCCTATACAAAAAGTACAACGGTCCTGTTTTAAAAAGCGCAAATGTCCTAAAAATTAAAGCGCAAATGTCCATAAAAAGTCACATGAAGAGTAATTACTGTAAAAACAGGCCCTCATTTGATACCTTGTCATCATAACAATTACAAACAAGGGTTAATTGGCAGCTGTGATTTACCTGTTCACCTGATGAGGAGTCTTTTCGAAGTTGTTTTTCAATATTTGAACTAAAAAGTAATGGCAGATGCCTTATGAATTATTTTAATCTAGGAATAAAATATTATTCACACTTTTTACCTTGTACAATTCTCTCCGTTATTCCTGTTTAGAAATTTATAGCAACAATCAATCATTGTAAATATCCTGTCAGACTAATGGCCACTTTCTCATGTTGACTTGCTCAAATGAAAGCCATTTCGTAATACCTGAACAATCTATTATATGATAGAAATAATTCAAACAGATTTCTAATATAATTATCTGATAAGAAGTCTGCTTTGGGTGACAACTGGATACAGTACATCAAACTCTCCATTTGTATTTTAAGCACATGATAAATTTGCGGATGTTATATATGATGTACTTTATTCCAAGTGAAAGATACTTTACTGTGATGATACATATTGACACTTGCATTGTTTACATTTTGCGAAGTTTGCAAGGTGTGGAAAACAAGGATGAATTATTATTAATCTGATATTTTTTCTCAAGTTCTTTGATATGCCGTATGATGATAAAGAAAGGCAGATTTATGAGCTTGGAGAGAGAGTCAGAATTTAAATCTTTGGAAGAAAGAAATGATAAATTGGCAGTGTACCACTGTAAAAAAATCTGAGTAGAAATTGAATATTAAAATTCTCAAAGTTTATTTGTGTTGTCAATGTAAAAAGAATATATTTTAATTGACATAATTCTACTGTATTACTTATTCACATAACTTTTCTATTTAAAACTATCTCTCAATTTGAAATTTCAAATGAAAAAGATTTGATTGACAAGATGTTCACCATTAGAAGGTGGAATATAAATATATTGACAATTTGTAGCCACTTTATTGCTGCTCATATTTTATTGTTAATCTAGACACCAAATCAAATAAAGTAAAACAAATGTAAAAAAATGTGTAAATATAAATACAATATGACAATAAATGTACATGCTTGCCCTTTTTTTTTAACAAATAAATTAGACATCTGAGTTTTTAATTCTGTTATTTTCTGTTTCATAAAACTGATTGGGGAAGATCCTCATAAAATCAAGTATCAATCTACTCTGATAAAAAAATTAAATATATACAGATCACACTTCTAAACCTTAAAATTCTTTTGTCAAATATTTTTTTCAGTTGAATGTTATGTATCTCTATTTCCAGATACAAACAAATATTTGTACTTTTCAGCTTGAACAAATTTTGCTATGTCCAAAACTCACCAGAATGTTAGTTAAAGAGGTAAAACTCCCACTGTGATTTCAATGAATTGAATAAAAAAATAAAGTACATTATTCCACTTGATATTCATTGGGATATCTCTGGAAATTTCTTTGGAAATTTAACTGATCTTCCACTGGAATTACAGTGTGAAATACATTCAATTAAACCTAAAGTGGGATTCCCCTGGAATATTTTTTTTCCCACTGAATACCAGTGAATATCCTCTGTAATCCACTGGGATTACAGCGGGATGCCATCAACAGAGAGAGTCATAATGCAACCTCTTATAGGACAAAATAAAACAATCATTATAACTTAAGTGACACACCTGTCAATTTGGCACTTGAAAACTGGAAATGGAACACTAAAAATATAAACCAGATACTATCTTATTCCTACAATACTGGTGTAATTTAAAGAATAGAAAACAGTTAATATGTTCTATCCTGTATCAGAATCTCATTTTAATGAGGTTTTAAACAATGCAATAGTAAGTTTTTACTATTACTTAACAACCATGTTATTTATTGCTTAATTGATTTACTTACAAAATAGTGATCCTTCCTGTTAATTTTCTTGTTTCATTTGTAAATCAAAACCATGAATAAACGGAATTTAAGGGTTTAGATAGCATTCTGAAAACAAACAACATCTAGAGGTCTACATGTGCCTACTATATACTGTATTTTTGTCATTTGAAACAGAACAGTGACATAATAGAAAGAGAGGAAAATTTAAAAGTTAAAAATTATTTTATTTTCAGAGTTCTTATTGGTGTGGCACTGTTGCTAGTGATGTGATGGAAGGTGATGAAAACTTTTTAAATCAACATTCTTCTGAGTATTTTGAACAAGATCCTATAAGACTCAGACCAGGAATTCAAATAAGAAACTTGAAAAAGGTAATTGAGAAATAACTGGACTGCATTTCCACATGAACATATACTTTATATTATTTATGATGGTAGAAATATTTTAATATTGAATCAATTTATGTGTTATCTTTTAGTGTTGATTGTGTTTTAATCATTGATTGTCTTACTTTTAACTTTTAAAGTTAAATGTACAATTACCCAGGTTCTTTGTTTTGCATTTAATTCTTATCACATGTACATCTTTGCGATAATTATTAGTCAAAAAGAATTAAACCACTTTAGGAAGATCAGGTGTCTTCCACTGTATTGAATTATTAAATAGCCGAAAACAATAGGTTTAGATCTTTAATGAAATATGTAAATTTTTCCCAAGTCAGGAGCCTGTAGTTCAGTGGTTGTCATTGGTTCATGTCTATCATATTTGTTTTTGTTAATTATTGTTATAAATTAGGCCTTTAGTTTTCTCAATTAAATTGTTTCATATTTCATAGCTGACTATAACGTTATTTTCATGTCGGTCCTTTTATAGCCGACTATAACGTTATTTTCATGACGGGCCTTTTATAGCTGACTATAACGTTATTTTCATGTCGGGACCTTTTATAGCCGACTATAACGTTATTTTCATGTCGGGGCCTTTTATAACCGACTATAACGTTATTTTCATGTCGGGCCTTTTATAGCCGACTATAACGTTATTTTCATGTCGGGGCCTTTTATAGCCGACTATAACATTATTTTCATGTTGGGCCTTTTATAGCCGACTATAACATTATTTTCATGTCGGGGCCTTTTATAGCCGACTATACGTGATGGGTTTTGTCTATAATTGCCTACATCCACTTGATTTGAACTTTGTTGGATAGTTGTCTCATTGGCAATCATACCCTTCTCCTTATTTTTATATTAGTGTTCAATATTTGCACCAGGAGATATTTAAACTTAGTTTTTTTTAATATAGAAAATATTACAAATTACCGATTAAGTTGGCATTTTGTTCCAGTACAATGAATTTTTAACCGGTAGGGGACTATGTATTGCCATGCAATACTTTCAGAATGCTTGTTTTTATATGTAACAAATTTTCCAAATACATGGAAACAACAATCATCAAGAAGTATCACAATTATAGCTGTTTATTGATTTAGTTTAATAGATATGAATTCTAAGCCTGAATTCAGAGTCGTTTCCACCAATCTTTTCTAAAAAGCATATAATGGAACAAAATTCATTAATTTACTTGTAAACAATCTCTCTGAAAATTTTAAAGCAATCACTATTTCTCATACAGTGAATAAAATTATACCACAATTGATGCTCAATTTATTCAGATATTCTTATATATTGTCATGATACTGAAGTCCATAAATAAAATCTTTCTTTTTATCTTGACAACAGGTTTTCAAGACTAATGGATCAATGAAAACTGCTGTAGAAGGAATGACCTTGAACATATATGAAGGTCAGATAACTGCTCTCTTAGGACATAATGGTGCTGGGAAAACTACAACAATATCTATGTTAACAGGTAGAAAAGTTTAGAGATAAATTTCTTTTTTATTACATTCTAATTTGCATTTTGCCAAATATGAGAATGTATGCAAACTTTGAAAAAGATTAAACATTGAAAACTTTGTCTTGCAAATATATTAATGTACTTTTTGGACATTAGGGAGAAGACTGTCTGACAATAAATGACATTTTTATTTGTCAAACCGGTACTTAGAATTCAGTGAATGGTAAATGTTAAAAGTAGTAATATAAAAGTTTCTGCAATTGAAAGTTGTTTCATGATATTGCTGTCAAAATTGTCAATTTTGTTAATATCTCAAGCTGGATTACTTAAGCAGTAATAATGGCTGCATGCATTAGCTATACACTTCAATTAAAGGGAAAATCAAGGCAGACATAAGTTTTGTGTCTTCTCTATTTCTGAATGCCTTAATTTGCTCTTGATTTTTTTACTCATATATATATAATTTAGAAGATGTGGTATGAGTGCCAATGAGACAACTATCCATCCAAGTCACAATGTGTAAAAAGTAAACAATGTATTATAGGTCAAAGTACGGCCTTCAACACAGATTTGGCTCACACCGAACAGCAAGCTATAAAGGGCCCCAAAATGAGTAGTGTAAAACAATTCAAACAGGAAAACCAACGGTCTAATTTATATATAAATAAAATTTGTAAGGGTTCCGCGGAACCCAGTGTCTCGTCTACTTTTGATGTTAATCGCAGGCTCAACAAAAATGAGGAAAAAAATTAATAAAAATATTCCTCTCTATACTATCTTTTGATTGTAAGTAGCTTCTGTCCAAGTTTGGTAAAAATCCAGGATAATTTATGAATCTAATAAATGTTTTTAAAACTTAAACTGCAGACTGTATGTAATGTTAACTGGAAGAAAAACTAAGTCCATTTATAAGTAAAATATGGAAAAAATGGAACAACATTTCCTTCTAGATACTAGCTTTTAATCATAAACAAGCTTCTGTCCAAGTCTGGTACAAATCCAAGATAGTTGAAGAAAGTTGTTAAAATTTTAAAAACTTTAACCACAGAGTGAATGTAATGTTAACTGGCAGAAAAACTAAGTTCATTTATAAGTAAAATACGGAAAAAATGGAATTTTTTTTTTACAAAATTTTCTTCTGGATACTATCTTATGATCATAAACAAACTTCTTTCCAAGTCTGGTAGAAATCCAGGATAGTTTAAGAAAGTTATTAAAATTTCAAAAACTTTAACCACAGATTGAATGTAATGTTTCCTGGCAGAAAAACTAAGTCCATTTATAAGTAAAATACGGAAAAAATGGAATTTTTTTACAAAATTAATTTTGAATATTATCTTATGATCATAAACAAGCTTCTGTCCAAGTTTGGTAGAAATCCAGGATAGTTTAAGAAAGTTATTAAAATTTCACAAAACTTTAACCACAGAGTGAATATATGTGGACGCCGCTGCCGCCGACGGAATGTAGGATCACTATGTCTCGCTTTTTCGACAGAAGTCAAAGGCTCGACAAAAACGAGAAACTAGAAACACTTATGAACCACACCAACAAACGACAACCACTGAACAACAGGCTTCTGAATAAGGACAGGTGTATAAAAATGCAGCGGGTTTAAACATTTAAACAGGCGCCAACCTTCACCCTAACCTGAAACAGTGGTGTAACATTACCACATAAAAAGACGCACAATAAAATATCAATTGAAATGGCTTCACTCGATCAAAAAGACATATTAACAAAAACAAGTAAATATACACTGAACGAATAAATTTGATCTATGAGACAATATAAATAAAAAAGATGTATCAATGTCACAAAGACAACTTTAACCTAGGACAAAATGGTGTTAAATAAAGTAACGTACACAGGTAAATTTAAATATAATAATTTTGTTGTTAGGAGTACCGAAACATTTTTTATGCCCCAGCCGTAGCAGAGGGGGCATTAAGTTTTACCCTTGTCCGTCTGTACGTCCGTCCGTACGTCCCAAAATTGGTTTCCGTTCTCTAACTTGAGTTTGCCTCAACCAAATGTTATGTTACTTATATACAATGCTTATTACCACAAAACACAGATCAAGTTTGAATTTTGGTGGCGTCACTTTAACCGTTCTAGAGTTATGCCCCTTTATAAATGAAAAAATTGCAAAATTTTTAGTTTCCGTTCTCTAACTTTTAGTTTGCCTCAACCAAATGTTATGAAACTTATACACAATGCTTATTACCACACAAAACAGATCAAGTTTGAATTTTGGTGGCATCACTTTAACCGTTCTAGAGTTATGCCCCTTTATAATTGGAAAAATTGCAAAATTTTTAGTTTCCGTTCTCTAACTTAAGTTTGCCTCAACCAAATATTATGAAACTTATACACAATGCTTATTACCACAAAACACAGATCAAGTTCGAATTTTGGTGGCGTCACTTCAACCGTTCTAGAGTTATGCCCCTTTATAAATGGAAAAATTGCAAAATTTTTATTTTCTTCTAAATATCAAGTTATTTTTAAAATTGGAGTTATCTTCCTTTGTCCATGATTATGGTTGAATCAACTACAATCAATGCTTTATACAATGCAAAGTTTAATTTTGACTTCCACTGATAAAACACAGATCAAGTTGAATTTGGGTAGTGTCACTTTAACCATTATTGAGTTATGCCCCTTTATAAATCGAACGATTGCAAAATTTTTAGTTTCCATTCTGTAACTTAAGTTTGCCCCAACCAAACATTATGAAACCTATACACAATATTCATTACCACAAAACTAAGATCAAGTAAAAATTTTTTGTTTCCGTTTTCTAACTTTAGTTTGCCTCAACCAAATGTTATGAAACTTATTACTACATAATACAGATTAAGTACGAAATTTGGTGGCGACACTTTTACTATTCTTGAGTTATGTCCCTTTATAAACATAAAAATTGCTGAATTTTTTAGTTTGTCTCAACCAAATGTTATAAAACTTATACACAACTGTTCTAGAGTTATGCTTGTTTACAAATAGAAAAATTGCTGAATTTTTAGTTTCTGTTCTCTTCTTAAGTTAGCCTCAACCAAATGTCATGAGACTTACACACAATGCTTATTACCACAAAACTCAGATCAAGTTCAAATTTGGGTAGTGTCACTTTTACCGTTCTTCAGTTATGTCCCTTTATAACTATATGATATGCAAGCGGGGGCATCATCTGTGTCCACATGTGGACACTATCCACATTTATTTTTAAAAAATAAATTTGTTGTTCATAATACGAGTACAGAAGTGAAAATTTATCGTCAGTTTGCTTTATCCTGTGTACTGAAATCAATCATTACACTATATCCATATTTTATAATTCTTTTCAGGAAATATGTAAACACAGTAGTTGCAATTCTAACTTAATTACATTTTCTATATTATATTTGTTATAGGATTTTTCCCTCCTTCAAGTGGTACAGCTAAAGTAAATGGGTATGACATCAGGAAAGACATTACCAGTGTACGCAGTAGTCTAGGTCTCTGTCCACAACATGACATACTGTTTGATTCTCTCACAGTAGAGGAACACCTTCAATTCTTTGCTAGTGTAAGTAGATGAAAGAGCTATGAGTACAAAAATAACTTAGAAGGCCTCAGAAGCAAAGGAACTTTTATAAATAGTTGAAGTAACTGAGATTTAGAATATAAACAAATATATCTACAAAGGATGAGATTTACTACTTGTCACTTTTGAAAAGGGGGAACATGCTTTTTATAATTCAATTTTGTCTCACTTTGACATCATCACATGCAGTTTTGTGAGTTGATTACATGTATTTTCATCTACTAAGAAGATAATTTTTGATTCAGGTAAATTAATCAATGAGTGATGGATTTCTCTTAGAAGAAATTTAAAGGTCCCAGTGAATCACCTACACAGAGAACAATAGCTATTGTATTTATTCAATGGGACAATTGAACTGACAAAAGTTTAAATACCTTGACCAAGAGGAGATGACTCTGTGGAAGAGTTTCATTTGGTTTGCAATAGCATTGGCATATCTTATTTCCATGGAAATTATTTATCCCTGTACCTTCAATCATTATACCTGTCAATTGAACCATATTTTGCGGGTGTGACCTGTGAATTTACCAGCTCACCCGAGATTTTTCAATACCCATTCAGGTCATTAAATAACCCGGGATTTTATCAAATGACCTTTTCACCAGTATTATATTGCCATGAGACTTGCAATGTCTAAAATGCAAAATTTTCCTAAAAAAAACCAAATTCAAAATTCTTCCTGGACAGGAAGATCAAAATTTACTCTCAATTGAATGATTTACTGCTATTAAAACATAATTTTGACACTCTTTTGATTGAAAGGTAAAAAAATTTGCTAATTATCCCGTTAATTGTACCCCAGAAATGTTGAAGCCAGTCAAGCTTGACATACAATTTTATGTCCTGATTTATAAATTGCCCATTTGCAAATATTAATTATTCTATCAAAATCATTTTAAAACAATTTGAACCTATTTATACATATCTGTTGGAGAGATACAAGTCCCTAAACTAATTTAACCATTTAGTTTTGTTGTCACTTAAAATCCATGTTGTCTACCTGGGAATACACGGAATGTAATTATATAAACAACAGTAAATTCGTCTTCTTCTTTATCTTCCTTTTATGTATAGGATCACAGTTGCTATAGCTGATTTATTATTATACTTGGGGTTTATAAATTACATTAATAAAAAAATAGTGTGAATGAAACAATTAGAGGGCATTGCTTTATTTTAATATTTGATCGATAATGAATATTTAACAAATACAATGAAGTTAAAATAAAAAAATAAATTAAATTTTAAATATTTTTCAGCAAAAACTTATGAAACTGGTATATGTTATAGAATATTAAGAAAATCCACTAATTTGGCCTCTATCCATGATCTATACTGGTAAGATTCCCAAGTTGTGTCTCTATGAGATCATATCTGGGAACCAGTAGCTAAACAAAACAAAATATCTATGAATATTATTGCGAAACCAAATGAGTCATCTCCTATTGGTCAAGGTATTTAAACTTTTTTTAGTTCACTTGTCCCATTGAATAAATACAATAGCTATTTTTCTCTGTGTAGTTTATTCACTGGGACCTTTAGATTTCTTCTAAGAGAAATCCATCACTCATTGATTAATTTACCTGAAGAAAAAAATACCTTCTTAGTAGATGAAAATACATGTATCAACTCACACAATTGCATGTGATGTTGTATTTATTCAATATCAATAATATGTTTTCTATCTGTTCAATATAAACACTGATTTAATCATAAAAAGTTGATTTCTGAGAAAAGTTTTAGCATTGTTCCTATTGAAATTTCAATTTTTGTTGTGTTTATTTAGTTATAAAATACTTTTAAGAAGACCTTAATTTAAACATTGTCATTTTCCAGTTTTCATTTGTCAAATACACAAAAAAAACAAATTTCAATAGGAACAATGTAAATGTTGTCAGAAATCAACTTTTAATGTTTGAATCAGTGTTTATATTGAACAGATTACATTTTTTATCTCTAAAACTTAAATAGATAGGTATAAACTGTAAACAGTAAAAATAATCACCAATACAAGACTACAAAAATGCCACTAAAGATCTACATATATGCAAATATGAATGATTGCATTAAAGGAAAAAAATAAATATCAAAATAGCATATTTTTTACGAGGTGAGCTATTCAGGCTCTTGGGAACCTCTTGTTAGAATTACTTTTATCAATTAAATATTATTCATCAAAATTTATTAAATTGTGTGCATGATAACTGCTTGAAGTTGGTAATTTTTCTATGTCAAAATATGCAATTTTTATCCCAAATCTAATGGGGCCTTTTGCCATATATATGGGAAGGGGGACGTAAACAAATTTATTGTAAAAATATTAAAAAATAAAAACTCTTGCTGTTTGCCATTTAAAAGTGGATTTTTCAGTCCTTTTTTGCCCCTTATAGTCATAATCCCTAAGAATTACACAAAATTCATTGACATACTACTGTAAGATCTTGAAATACTAACACAAGCTTGAACCAATCTGAAAAGTTCTTTGAAAATTTTTACGAAGATCTTTGTCCTTTATAGCTTGGAAACTGAAAAAAGCTGCTAGTATATGAACAAAAGGAGATGTGGGGTATATGACAAGGAGACAACAACCAATGACAAAAATACCCAAATGACATCTAGAGAGCAACAGCACCAAACAATCATACAACTGCAAAAATTTGTTGTGATATAAAGAATGAGTGGGCAATGTGGAGAAAATTATATGAATTTATTTTAGGGAGAATTTTCTGAAATGCATTATGAAGGAACTACCTTAGATTAAAAAATGAGTTAATTGCCAGCAATAAAAGGAAGATTTTAACCATTGTAAAATGCAACATACAAGTAATTTGCAGTTATTATTTTAGTTAAAAGGTTGTCCTAAAGACAAAGTAAAGGATGAAGTAGATTCCATGATAACACAGATAAATCTGAAAAACAAACGTTCAGCAGCCAGTAAAACATTATCTGGTGGTATGAAGAGAAAGTTATCTGTTGGAATAGCCCTGATTGCAGGGTCAAAGGTAGGTTAAAAAACACCTGTGATGTAAATCTTTTGTTCAAACTCTCCATTATTTTTCAGGAATGGAGAGTTATTTTCTATTGTTCATCTTCATTCATCCGGCCGTTTTGACCTTTGGATATTTCCATGGGCTCTTTCTTAAAAAGTGTTCACCCATGGAAATAATTCTAAAGGACTAAACGCGATATTGAATGAAGATGAAAACTTACTAAAAAGGCTGATACTGATTTTTTTTTAAAATTGGGATCGTAAAGTAATACAGTAAACACCAAATATATGATTATTAATAAACAGCTTTTATTTGCGAGTCTTAATTCCATCCTATAATATATAGCATCGTATTCACTAAAATTCCACAACATTATCCACAATTTGTTTTCCGATGCCAATCTTGGCTGAATTTCTGTCACGGAAAGTATCCAAGCGAGTAAACTCGACTATTTTCCATTGAGTGCCATTCCTTTTCTGTGCATCTAAAAAATATCAAATGCGTTAACTCGGTTGAATTCTTTGTAATATTAGAGAAATTTTCTCGCTGTGTTGAAGACCCATTTGTGGCCTCGGGCTGTTTTCTGCTCTTTGGTCGGGTTGATGTCTCTTGGACGCATTCCCCATTTCCATTCTAAATTTTATTTACATTGAACAGAAAAATTACTCGTTAGTTTCTACAAGTATATTGTGGTTTAATAGAATAAATAGTTCAAGAAAATGAAATGGTCAAAATGGCGTACATGTATTCGGTATATTATTTGATTGTTCGTTGTTATAATTTGAATATAGTACTAATGAATAGAATTGGAGGGGGTATGAATAACATTTGAATAAGCTTGGGTTAAATATTTGGCGGGTTTTTTATTCAATTTTCAACAGAAACGCATAACATTATCGTATTCCTTCGCTGTTGTTATTTGTCCAGTGGCAAATATAACAGATATATCGGCAGTGCAAATGACGGCGTTAATCTTGAAATGTTTAAATGAAATCAAAAAGTAGTTTTCCACTTAATTAAGGGAAAAGTGAAAAATATTTTCAGTTTGCTTGTATTGCTATTTAAGAATCATCTAAAATATGCATAACATTTTTTCGTTGTAATGAGCGAAGGGAAAGAAAAATGTATATGCATGAAACACTATTTTCGTGTTTAATTTTATTTGATCTAATAGAATGGTTTGAAATATAGAATCATATTTCGTTTCAGATATGACTTATAATCAAGCACACCCTTATAAGTTAAATAACCTAAACTAGAGTGTTACATACCTGGAAATTTATTCTAGTTGTACCATTTCATTTTTCATTGACGATTCTATATCCAAGATTTATCAAACGAAAAACACACATAATCCATTAACATATATGCATAAATACTAGTTTTTTTCTCTCCTGAAATACCACTTATAGACACAAATAAATATCCTTTCAATCCTACTACAAGAAAAATGTGCGTATCCAATAACTTAAAACATAAATCTGGATGAATTTTATTCAAAATCTGTTTATAGTAATTACTCTACTGTTCATAAATACTTCGTTTAGTGAGTAGATGGTCAGCTTGATCTTAAATTTTGCCTGTGGATTATTGGGTACACCACGGGGAAAATGAAAAGAAAACCATAACAAAATGAAATAAAATTCTTTAAAATGTTATAATCTGAAGATTCGTTCTATATTAAAGGTGTATTTTAAGTTAGCGAAAGTCCAAATAACTGTCCATTCCTGGGAAATAATGGGCGTCGGCCCGTTTATCTAAAGCTTTGTTCAACATATCATAAAACAATTGTAGACAGTCAGAGGGGTTTTCTTCAAATTCAATTTTATGAAAAGGTGTAGTTTATATTCTTGTATGTGACAACAAAACAAATCAAATGAAATAAAAGGGGAGTCCCCTGGGGTCACCCCCACCCCCTCCTGTTTGAGAACTTGTAAACGGTCGAGATCCCCACCCCTAAACCATATATATTCTTGTACGGGACAATAACACAAATAAAATGAAAAATAGGGGAAGTCCATGAGGGTCACCCCCACCCCCCTTCTTTTTGAAAACTTGTAAACGGTTAAGATCCCCACCCCCAAACCATATATATTGTTGTATGGGACAATAAAACAAATCTAATGAAATAAAAGGCGAGTCCCCTGGGGTCACCCCACCCCATCCTGTTTAAGAACTTGTAAACCGTCGAGATCCCCACCTCTAAACCATATATATTCTTGTATGGGACAATAATACAAATCAAATGAAATATAGGGGAAGTCCATGGGGGTCACCCCCACCCCCTTTCTTTTTGAAAACTTGTAAACGGTCAAGATCCACACCCTGAAACTATATATATTCTTGTATGGGACAATAAAACAAATCAAATAAAAAATAAAAGGCGAGTCCCCTGGGGTCACCCCCACCCCCTCCTGTTTCAGAACTTGTAAATGGTCGAGATCCCCACCCCTAAACCATATATATTCTTGAATGCAATAAAACAAATCAAATGAAATATAGGGGAAGTCCATGGGGGTCACCCCCACCCCCCTTCTTTTTGATAGCTTGTACCGGTAAACGGTCTAGATCCCCACCCCTGAACCATATATATTCTTGAATGGGACAATAAAACAAATCAAATGAAATATAAGGTGAGTCCCCTTGGGTCACCCCACCCCCCTCCTGTTTAAGAACTTGTAAACGGTTGAGCTTTTCATTATTAATAAGATAATACCACATTGAGGTCCAAAGGGTCCTAAATTAAACTTTTGTTTAATTTCATCAAATATTGAATTCTTTGGTTCTTTGATATGCTGATTCTAACAATGTTTGAGTGTTAAATCATATCTAATTTTAGAGAACTTAGTCATCACTGGTTGTTGTTATTATATTATTGATTATAATTTGAAAAATTGCATCATATCTTATTTTAGAGAACTATTTATCCAGTTTGAGTTGTTTCCATTTGCACAGAAAATATTATGGATAAAATTAACCTGTGTTTCATTTCAACATAAATTAAATATATATATATATATAGGGTTCTTTCAAATGCTGAATCTAAACTCTATTTAAATATTAGATTTTTAGGCCCAGTTTTCAAGTTGGTCCAAATCAGGGTCCAAAATTAAACTTTGTTTGATTCAACAAAAATTGAATTTATGGGGTTCTTTGAAATGCTGAATCTAACCATGTATTGAGAGATTTTGGATTGTGGGCTCCTTTATCAAATTGGTCCACATTGAGGTCCAAAGGGTCTTAAATTAAACTTTTGTCTGATTTCATCAAAAATTGAATTCTTGGGGTTCTTTGATATGCTGATTCTAATATGTACTTTTTTGATATTGGACCATAATAGGTATTTAAATGTCCAATTTCAAGTATTTCAGTTCTTAAACCACATTCATTTTGTGTCACAAACCTATGCTGTGTCAAATATTCAATCACAATTCAAATTCAGAGCTGTTTTAAGCTTAAATGTAGTGTCCATACTTGCTCAACTGTTCAGGGTCGACCTCTGCAGGAAAATCTGGTTTGCTGTCACTCTGACAGCCTCTTGTTTTTTTTTCTTTTAAATTTTCCATTTTAAGTTGGTTATTTTTTATTTATATATAAAAGCAAATAATAATGATATATTTTGGTTTCATCAAAAATTGAAATATTGGGGTTCTTTGGTCTGCTGAATCTAACCATGTATTTAGATTCTTAATTTTTGGTCCTGTTTTCAAATTGGTCTACATTAAGGTCCAAAGGGTCCAAAATTAAACTTAGTTTAATTTTAACAAAAAATGAATTCTTGGGGTTCTTTGATATGCTGAATCTAACCGTGTATGTATTTAGATTTTGGATATTGGACCATAATAGGTAAATTAAAATTTTTTAAGTTCCTAGACCACATTCATTCTGTGTCAGAAACCTATGCTGTGTCAAATATTTAATCACAGTCCAAATTCAGAGCTGTATCAAGCTTGAATGTTGTGTCCATACTTGCCCCAACTGTTCAGGGTTCCACCTCTGCGGTCGTATCAACCTGCGTCCAGCGGAGCATTTTATTGGTTATTATCTTGAATATTATTAATGATAAAGATAAAGTGTGAACAGCAAATTTGTTCAGCAAAGTAAGATCTACAAATAAGTTTAATGATCAAAATTGTCAATTGACCCCTTAAGGAGTTATTGCCCTTTAAGAACAAGTTTACACAATTTGTTTATCATGTTTTCTAACTTTAAAAAATGTTCTTCTCTGAAAGTACTGAACTAATTCCAACCAAACTTAAGCTGAATAATTCTAAGGGTATCTAGAATAAAGTTTGTAATTTATTTTCTGTTTCGTAAAAAAACATGGCCGCCATGGCTAAAAATAGAACAAAGGGGTAAAATGCAATTTTTGGCTTATATCTCAAAAACCAAAGCATTTAGAGCTAATCTGATGAGAGGTAAAAATATTTATTAGGCCAAGCTCTGTCAGCCCTTAAATTTTCAGATGAATCTAACAACCCATTGTTGGATTGCTGCCACTTAATTGGTAATTTTAAGGAAATTTTGCAGATTTTGGTTATTATCTTGAATATTATTAATGATAATAAGATCTACAAATAAGTTCGTATGACCAAAATTGTCAATTGTCCCCTTAAGAAGTTATTGCCCTTTAAAATCAATTTTTCACAATTTGTTCATTTAGTTTGCTTACTTTAAAAAATCTTCTCCTTTGAAACTGCTGAATCAATTTCAGCCAAACTTGGGCTGAATGAGTTTCAGAGTATCTAGTATAAATTTTGTATTTTATTTTCTTGTACGTCAAGAAACATAGCCACTATGGCTAAAATGAAACATAGGGGTAAAATGCATTTCTTTGGTTTTAAGCCATTCATTAATATATATTGAAAAGAAAAAAATAATCATTGATGAAAGATTTAAGCAAAAAATTACAGGTGAGGGATTCAGGCTCTTGAGATCCTCTTGTTTGTCGCCTGCGCAACGCATTGCAGGGGACATAGATATACTGGGCATCCTTCCGGTCTTGTTTGGGC